AAATAAATAAATAAATAAAGAATTATGTTTCTCATTCTCCAGGGAGGCAAGTTCCTCCTTGTCCCCTGCGACGCCCATGTATAATGTGGAAAATACTCTTAACGAAGGTTTTGAAACTATTTTTCTATTTTTAACATCTTCGAATCGCTTTTTGTTGCTTTATTGGCTTTAAATCGTTAGTAATCCACACACTTAAGTCCTTTTCCTCAAGGTCCCTTTTAATAGTCCCCCAGTGGCATAGCGGTATGTCTGCAGACTTACAATGCTAGAAACCGGGTTTCGAAACCTGTGGTGGCGGAGCACAGATAGACCATGGTGTAACTTTGTGCTTAACTTCAAACAAACCCTTTTAATATATATATATTTCTCGATTACCAGTTTATATGAATCTTATCGTCGTACATGGACAAACTTGCATTTTACTTCAATCGCCACATTTCATTCCATTCAGTCATTCTAAATCTCTCTATAGTAAATCTCTATCATAATAATTTGATATTTCTCTAAAAATCTTATATATATATAATAAAAGAGCATGTCTCTGTGCGTGTGGCCGCCATAATTCTAAGAGGAAAGAGCCTAGAAACCTAAAATCTTGCACCCGTACTAAGTGGACCCTGAGGGCGTGCACCTGGCCATTATTACTTATCTATGTGCGTGCGTGAATGCTCATCTTTTTAAAGAGGCAAGCTAGCAAAAAATCACATGGAAAAGAAGTGATTCCTTATATTACAAATAGAAATCACAGTCAGACAGATACGTACGTATGTGCGTGCGTACGTACATGCACATCTTTTTAGTGAGGCTAGCTAGCGAAAAACCACATAGAAAAGAAATGGTTCCTTATATAACAATTTCTAATGTATAAAAAAGCTAGTGTGTTTGGTAACAATGCGTTCCAACAATGGCTTTTATGTCATGTTGCTTTGTAAGAAAAGCAAATATGTTATACTTTTATGCTAAAATGGGTTTAAAATACACACACTGACATGGTCATGTGGAACATATGAACCTAATAACCCGAGCAAAGCCGGATACTAAGAAAATAACCTAGAAACCTAAAATTTTGTACACATACTAAGTATACCCTGAGGGTGTGCACCTGTGTATTATTACTTATGCATCTATTTATGAGGCAATGCAGGGAAAAAACACATAGAAAAGAATATGTGACCACCATATCTCCAAGAGGAAAAAGCTTAGAAACCTGAAATTTTGTAACCCTACTAAGTGGACCCTGAGAGTGTGCATCTGAGTATTATTACTTATCCACGTGCGGACGCGCATGCGCGTACTCATCTTTTTAATGAGACAAGCTAGCGAAAACCCACATAGAAAATAATATGTTACTGTCATAGCTCCAAGAGGAAAGAGCCTAGAAATCTGACATTTTGCACCCATACTAAGTGGACCATGAGGGTGTGCACCTGAGTAATATTACTTATCCACGTGCATGCATAATGAGGCAAGTTAGTGAAAAACCACATGGAAAAGAAGTGTAAATATTGTTACCAAGGTATGAAATTCTCTGAGGTACTTTCAAGTCAAGAATAATCAACAATATCTGATGTTGCCAAGTCATTGAATATTATTTCTCTTAACAATTAGAATCGACTTTTGGTGTAACAGTGACAGTTTTTTTTTTTCCAAAACATGATTATACTGTTCCTTTTAACAATATCGGTACTACGTTTTTGGTGCATCAGTGACACTTTC